AGGCGCTGCGCTGGTCGCGGTGGCGGCGGTCCCGGCTGCGGCTGCGGCGCTTGCGGTCCCGGCTCCGAGAGCGGCTGTGGCTGCGCTTGCGGTGCCGGTTCTCCTTGTCCCGTTCTGGGTGAGGACGAGAAGAGGGCACGGGTGAGCGAGGAAGGGTGCGGCCCACCCACCCTGCGCGCTGGCCCTAAGTCCCGAGCCCCAGGGAGGCCACCCCCGAGGGGAAGGGGATGATGGAGGCAGGGAGACAGCAGGCCTCCTGGGTCCACGAGCGAGTCCAGGGGCCCTGAGGGGCCAGGGGTGGGGCCTGGCAGTGCCCCGGGGTGTGAGATACCTGAGGATGCTCAGGAGGAGCTGGGAGCCAGAGAAGACAGAGGAGGCTGGCTCCTGGTCCCCCTCGAGGGCTGAGGGGCCTCCCTGAGAGGGGCAGGGCTAGAGGCTGGGGAATCAAGAGACCCAATGATGTTTTCTTGAAGGGACCCGGTGACCCCTCAGGAAAGACCTCTGCAACCAGCTGGCACCACAGCCCGCCGTCGGGCCGGGGGTCGGGTGCCAGGCAGGATCTGATACCCCAGGAAGCAGGGACACTCGAGCCCGTCCCTTCCCGACCAGTAAAGCAAGAGCACCCTCCAGGGAGGTCCGTCCGAGCTGCAGGCTGAAGGGGAAGGACGCCACCCACCCCCCGCCTGGCTCCCTTGAAGCCTGAACAGGGGCCGAGGGAGGGGCTGGGGTCCCCTCTCCGGTCTGCTCCCTCAGGCCCCATCTGCGGTGGCGAAGCCAGGCAAGCAGCAGACCTTCTGCTCTCGCTGTCCCCGGACGGAGCGGGCCCAGGGGCTGAGCCTGAGCCACCACGGGAGCTGCCTCCCTTCCCAGGCCCCAGCTCCCCCTCGGCACGCCAGAGTGAGGAGGCCTGGCCACACGCTCGCGTAGATCCGCACGGATCTCTCAAGGGGAGCGAGGACTCTCTGGGGACAAGAGGAAAGTGAGGCAAGGGTGTCCCCCATGACCCTGGGACCTCCTGCTACAGCCAGGGAGGGCCCTCCTGTGAGCGCAGCCCCGTGCTGGAACCACTAACGGGGAAGACGTGCCGAGACGGGAGAGCTCGGCACCAACCTGGGGCCCTTCCCAGAGCTGCACGACAGCAAGTATAGAAACGGAGGCACAGGACGCGACACGCTTGCCGGGTGAAGCCGGGATCACGCCTTGTAAGCGGCGGGAAAAGGGCCAGGCTGTGCCCCGGCCAGGTGCGGAGGGCAGTGAGACTGTCCCCTTGCACGCCCTGGCCCCAGAGTCAGACTGGACGACGGAAGAGGCCAAGGGACCGGCCAGGCAGGGGATCGGTGAGTGCGCGCGGGACACTGGGCACCCGCCAGGTCCTCGTGCCAACCTGCCAGAGGAGCGGGATGCGCCCAAAGGCCTCTCCTGCCGCTGAGGCTCCAACAGACAAGCGCGCGCAGGGCCTCCAGAGGAAGCAGTGCCACCTGTGAGGCCCCTGGACACCGGCAGGGGGTCCCCTGTAGACAGCACCAAAGCGGGGCAGGCAGGGAGGGTGGCTGGCGGAGACAGGCCCAGGGCGGGCAGGCTGACAGTGGCAGGGCTGGCCTAGGTGCACACCTCCCACACACTGACGGGGACAGTGAGGACTTGAAGGAAAAGCTCCGAGAGCTGCTCGGGGAACACCCCAGGGGAGCCAGGACACAGCACCGGCAGTGGAGCTGGGCCCTGGACCCAGCCAGAGCTCGACCAGCACTGGCCTCTCTCCTGGCCAACTGCGAGGTCCCACCAGGCTGCTCTCGGCGGGCTCATCGCGTCTACCCACCAGTCCGCCAGGGCCAGGCCCAGGTCTGCAAAGCCTGTCCACGCGCCCTGCCCCGGCTGCAGCTCCCTCTGTGCGCCCGCGCTAAGCAGCCGGGAGCAATGTCCCCGCGGGGCCTTCGGGCCGGGACGCGTGGCACAGCCCACTCGTTCCCCTCCGACTTCACTCCTGCCTCGGACCAGCTGCACCCTGAGAAAGGTTCCTAACTTTCTGGGCCCTAAGTTCCTTCCTGCAAAGAGGAGGTCGTTTTGGCCTCACAGGACGGTTGTGAGAACCCACTCAGAACACCAGGCGGAGTTCGACGAAGCGGCTGGCCGGGCTGCCCTCGCCCCCATCACTCTCACCGGCCTCTCAAAGCCCAGTGACCCGACGGCAGCACTCCCTTCTGCGGGAGAGCCAGGACACCAAGGTTGCCGGGGCAGCTCCGGGATCCGCGCCAAAGCTCGGGTCGGACCCGGGGCGCTCCTAAACGGCGCTTCTTCCAAGCACCCAGCGCTAAGCCAGCCACAGCGCTGCCAACCCTAGCCTGCTTCGAAACAATTCCCGAGCCCCACTCTCCTCCCAACTCCAGCTGGGAACCAGCGCCCAGCTACTCCGTAAGTCTCTTCACCCTCTAGCCCAAAAAGCGGAGGAGGGGCTGTTCTCAGCCGCTAGACTGGCCGCGCGCGGGCCGCGGCGGCCGCTAGCCGGGCCGCGCGCGGGCCGCGGCGTCCTCAGCCGGCTCCGCTCCAGCAGGTCTGGGGCTTTGTCTGAGTCGCGACCGCCCACGGCCCCTGCCCCCTCCGCATCCCCCGTGAGGACGCACGACGCCGGGTCTGGGCGCGCTGACGGGGTCGGGCTGGCTCCGGGCTGCCTCGCGCCGGGGAGAGCCCCGGGCCAGCGTCCCCCC